TAAGTAACATATATTTTCTGCTGATTTGGAATGCTGCCTGACAAATATCAAGCTTGTATATAACTGGGTCTGTTTCTAGACTTTTCTATGCAATTTAACTTTTTCTTTTGCCAATAATGTATTATCTTAGTTATTAAAACCTTAAGATAATATTTAATATTTGGTTGGGCAAGATGCCTTTTGTTATTATTTTCCACAATTGTCTTGGTAAGTTTTTCTTTTTGACGTGTGTGTGTCTGTGTGTCTGCATATGTGTGTATGTGGTGCATGTGTATACAGATGAGGAGGGAGTGCACTTGTGGTATGTGCACATGTGGAGGCCTGAAGTTGACCATATATTTTCCTCATTTATTTCTCTACTTTGTTCCTTTGAGACAGGATCTCTTACTGAACCTGGGACCCGCTGTTGTGGCTAGGCTGTCTAGCCTGCAAGTGAGCTCCTCGATCTACCTGTCTCTGTGCTATAGTGCTAGGGTCACAGGCACACATCACCAAGCCCAGCTTTTTTAAAAGAATATTTTACATACTTTATTTTTTATTATTTTTATTTTACGAGTGTATTGCCTGCATGTATGTGAGTGCACCTGTGCCGTGCAATGTCCAAGGAGGTCAGAAGAGGGTATCAGATCCACTGGAACTGGAATTACAGATGGTTATTAGCTACCATGTGAGTGCTGGGAACCGAACCCTAGTCCTCTGTTAGAATAGCCAGAGCTCTTAACCACTGAGCCATCTCTCCAGCCCCTATTAGCTATTTTTTTGACCACTTCATTGTATTTTAAAAATGTGTGGATGTAGGCATGGGTGGGGAGGTCAGAGGACAGCCTTGGGTATCATTCAGGCACCTTCCACTTTCTGTTTGAGACAAAGTCTTTCATTGGCCTGGAACATTGCTCTGTAGGCCAGTGTACCTGGCCTGTGTGACTTCAGGAATCCATTTTCCTCCATCTCCCAATTCATCATCATTGGGATTATAGGCACATGCCACTGTGCACCTGCCTTTTGTGAGAGTGCTTTACCAAATGAGTCATCTCCTTAGGCCTATTTGTCATTTGTTAAAGATATTTAATAGCATGGAAAAGTTCTAAAGATTGAGTCAGGTGGTTTATTCCTGCAATCTCAGAACTCGGGAAGCTGAGGCAGGAGCATTGCTTTAATTCTGAAGCTAGCCTAGACGATGGAGTGACTTCCAGGATAGCCCAGGTTACACAGTTGGGGGGTCAGACACACAAAAGACCAGATATAGGTCATTTGGTAGGGTGCTTATCTAGCATGTGTGAAGCCCTTTGTATGATCCCAGCACTGCAAAAAACTAGGTATACTGGCAATAGCTTATAATTCCAGCACTTGGGAAGTAGAGGCAGGAATATCAGATGTTCAAGGTCACCCTCAGCTACACAGTCTGACCTATCTCAGCCTGACCTGGTCTGAGGTCAGCCAGGGCTATATGAGATCCTGTCTCAAAAAAGAAAGCCGGGCATGGTGGCACACACCTTTAATCCCAGCACTTGGGAGGCAGAGGCAGGCGGATCTTGTGAGTTGTAGGCTAGTCTGGTCTACATAGCTGAGTTCCAGGCAAGCTGGAAGCTGGAGAAGGGACCCCCTGTCTCAAAAAAAAAAAAGGAAAAGATCTGCTAACATCCTAGATGCACATTAACACATGAATCGATAAATAAATTAAGGTACATATACATAATGAAAA